CCCCTGTGCTGACAACAACCAGAATCACCTCTTCCAGCTTCTTTTCTGCAAAGATGTCAATGCCTCTAAATGTTTCTGCAGCACATGGCTTGTTATGCCAAAGGAAAATGCCTCTTAAGCCTTGATGTCCAGGAGGTGGAGCCCTTCAGGAAACCCACCTGTACTCTGCAAGGCCTTCTGCTCTATTGGCTGCTCAACACCATTAATATTTAAGAGACTCAAAATTCCTCCTGTCAGTCAAGTTCTCCTGATGATGGAAGCAGATTGGGTCCTGGGACATCCTTCCCAGGCTTTTTTTCAGGCTTTGGGAACAGCAGCTCAAGAGCAGGGCACCAACACCTGCATGTGGGGAGCTCTGGAAAGCTCCCCAAGAGTTCCCAGAACCCGAGCGCCTTGGTTTCTTATTTTAGAGGAGAGAGCAGTGCTCTGCTCTTACCCTGGATGGCAAAAGCTTCAGTACTGAAATTCTGCTCAAAGAAAAGCCCTACGTGCTGCTGATGGGGAGATGGGACATGTGAGGAGGGAGAAATACCCCACGGAGCCTCACTCACCTGGTCAGGTCCTCGATGTCCACCAGCATGGCATCCTGCTCCGTGTGCAGCTCGTCCCGGATGAGCAGCAGCTGCACCAGCTCCTCGTTCAAGCCTGGAGCCAGGGAGAAGGCAAGAACAAAAAATCAAGATGGGTTTCTCTGTGCTTGGAGTTCTGCTGGTTCAGCTTCTGCTCACTCGTGGGCAACAACCCTGAGCAAGAACCAGGCTGCAGAAAGTGGCTGAGCCGCTCTCGCCCGGGCAGCTTTGTTTAAGGTTTATCTTTGTTTAGGGTTTTTTTTAAGGTTTTTTTAAGGTTTAAATTTTTGATTCCCTGCAGCAACACACAACACGTTGCCCACCCATCCTGGTTTGGGGTGACTGTCCAAGCTGGCCTCTCTGCTCAATGTTGGTAGTGTTGGATTCTTGCTCAGGGTTATGCCAAAGAGTGAGGACAAAGAAGAAAACAAAAAGGACCATGTGAAAAATGAACCTGCTGGCACGGGCTCCCCAGAAAGCTCCACCTGAAAACTCCCTCCAGAGCTGCTTTATAAACTGCTTAAATACAGTTATACTGGTTTAACACCTCATCAGTTTGGGAAACCAGCTCCAGCATTCATGACCTGAACACCTGTGCTTCCATACTTGGGTGCTTTCTAAACTCAGGCAAACTAATGAGCATTTGGGTTTGGGCTTTTGCAGCCACAAAGAACAAATCACAACGGGGAGGCACAGCTCTGCATCCCTGACAAGGCTCCTTCCAGAAGAAATTGCAAGTAACCACTGTCAGGAAGGAAGAAGCAGCCCAGCAACCCCCAGTCAAGCCTTTTTTTGACCAACAACCACCAGATAAGTTTACTCCCAACATTGTTAATTCATTAATTGGAAGATGGACATTCCTTGTGGGGGAAAAAAAACACCCTAGATATTTTGGAGAGAGCAAAGACAGATGAAGTGGTGGGACATTGACCCTGAGGGCAAATGCAAGGACACACAGAACATATTGAAATGCTGCAAGACTGGATTGACCCCAGGGTTTTTGCTAAACTGGAGGGTTTCTCCACTTATGGATGGTTTTGATGCCATGGCAGAGCATCACATGGAGAGAGATCTCCATCTCCAGCTTCTGTGGTGTCCCTCTTCCTTGGATTAGTTTTATTCTACATTTATCAACAGTTCTATGTGCCTCCTGGAGAACTGCTCTCAATGAAATGGGACATGCCAAAGGACAATTAAACAAGGATCACTTACTTTCTATCTGTGAGTGGAGATCATTGACTATCACTTGTAGCTGCCCAATAGTCATGTCTCTTAGGTCAGTGGGTTTTAAACTTCTCTTCATCAGGCATTCACTAATATGAGGCATATGTGGCAGCTGAAAAGAAATGGCCAACTCCTTAATTTTTCTTTACCCAAGCACTTTTATTCCTGAAGAGCAGCAGTTTGCTCTGCAGGCCTCCCCCTCTCACAAGCTGCACTGAGAACACCAACACAAGCTGAAGCAGCTATGCAACACCTGACCCAGGCCTTCTGCCAGCATCAGTGGTGGAGTGATGCAAGGGGAGCCAAGGGCATTGTACCAAGGCAGGAGTGCTCCAGGAGGGGACAGGATGGGCTGGGCTGAGCAGACTATGCCTTAAGGGTGAGCAGCATCATGCCAGCCTCAAGGCAGCACCAACCTCCACACTTCATCATCTCGTTCCCTGCACCCATCGCCCTCCCATCACGCCCCCACAAGAAGGCTCATGTCAACCCTTCAACTGCTGACAGCCAGTCCCTAACTCCACAGCTCCTCTGCACATCTACAAGCCCCAGAAGCAGGCACCTCCAGCTGCTGTGTGTGTCTCAACAGGGAAAAGCAAAGAGCAAAAAGGGCTGGAATTACCCCCCTGGTCCCCACTTACAAGATCCGCTACCGGCGACTTCTTCCTGTTCTGCTTTTCCACCTCCACCTGCATTTTGGCCATGGGCTTTGCCATAGCCAAGGCCATTTTGGCTTCAGCTTGGAGTTTCTTTTGCCTGGTGAGGAAATCCATGTCGTCGAGGGACTCTGACTCCTCCTCTGTTGTGTCTCTGTCGGAGTAGGACGAGCTCTGCTTGCTCTGGGGGAGCAGAAACGCAGCGGTTACAGCCCCATCACCCCCAGCTCTGCCCAGGGAGCTCTGTCAGCTCAACACATCTCTCTGCACTTCCAAGAGGCATCACTTCTACTGAAAAGGTGAAGAGCACAGATCTCTTTTCTTTTTTTAATTATTTTAATCCACTGGACTTCCTTTAAAAATCAGAGTAATTCTGAGATAGGCCCCTTGGACTACTAGTAGCAACTCCTGCACTTCAAATGGGAAGAGCAGCCAAGCAGATGGGTAGGTGCTGAAGGGACAAAGTGGTTAAGCTGGAGGGGAACGTTTGGGGCCATGGTGCCATGTTCCCCTAGGGAAAG